TGATCACGTGACCTCTGCCGTTCCCTCATCTTGTCGACCCTGTTGTCCGCGACGGCCTCCCCCGGTCTCACCTACCTGATGGCTGATCATGAAGGCAGTCGGGCGGTGTTACAGTGGTGAGTGGCAGCCTCTGCTGCTATGTGGTTGCCCCAATTGACAAGAAGCGTTTCCAACCCTCATACGTTCCTTTCAACAGTCCTGTCTCATAGCACTACAATCAATCCTATCAACCAACCTCCCTGATTATGTAGAAGCGGTTTATTTCTCCTACGTTTTCTTTTTTTAAGTGGAGGTCCGCTGAACTCTGTCCCCGCTTTAATGCTAGGAGTTTTTTTCACTGCTTCCTCCTTAGTTCACCATGCGTTTTAGAGAGTTTTGGCTATTATTTTAAAATGACGATATGTTGGTGAATAGGAATTTATCTGCCTTCATTACTAAACGCTCCCGCTGCCTACGGGGTTGCTCACTGAGAGCAGCATTTATCAACTTTGTATTTATTTTTTCAAAGCACTAAGTTTGCAACGACGAGACCCTTCGGGTCTAAAATATAAAATTTATTTTTTAATTTAATAGTATCTATTTGAAGAGGATTCTTCGCTGCAGTAAGTCAAAATCGCGCATGGTAGGCGTTTATCCCAATCATTGGGATGCTTCTCCTCGGCAAATACTTTAAGTAACTGGATAACTGTTCTGTTCATTCTTTCCATCTGACCATTTCCTTCTGGATAATCGGGTGTAGTATGGATCTGGTAGATAATGAGCAGATTGCATACCTCATGTAACAGTCTACTGTCGAAGTTTGCCCCGCAGTCGGAGGGGATGAAAGATGTCTAAAACGGCAGACCCAATTTTCAAAGACGGCCATCTTCACCGAAGCCGCATCCAGTCGTGATAGGTGTACCGTCTCTGTCCGTTTGGTGAAATATACAACCATTACTAATATAAATTGGGGACAGTGCTATCTAAACAGAAAAATTGTAAACATTGATTGTAATGGTCCTTGATGTTCTGCATCCTTAGTATTCTGCAGCCATTGAAGTGCTTTATGGTCGGAGCATACTTTGAATGGCTTTCCAGGTGAATGAGGGGAAACACTGAAATGTCGGTGTCCCAAGCGATATATATTGTTTATGATAAAGTCCTTTGGGAAAGAATTATTTTATTGTGTGAATTTTCCAGTCTGGTTCCCCAGCGCGTCGTCAAACATTTGAAAGTGTTGCGATAAGAGTTAACTCAAAATGATGACTAACAACATATTACACAGTGGGTCAGCGTGTAGGAAGATAATCGTCACCCACATGTAATTATGCAGTCAGTAGGGAAAAGAAACGATTTGATGAACGTAATTATGGATAAAAAGTCGCAGTGCTATGTGCAATAATTTGTTTGTGGCTTCAACAACGTTTTTCTGACAAGCGTATAAGTTTCTCACCGCAACTCAATTCAGTCTGCGATTAAACGGCTCCAATATCAAACGCACTAGCCTCCGTATTTAGCGGGTACATCGGTTGACCCTGCGCAATGGTATTTGCCAGTCTATACCAGCAACGTTAAAATCATCAACGTTGATTATAGCCAGGCGTCTGGTAAGGCTGACTATACGTCACCGATAGCGTAAGCGGCCGACCTTAGCCGAAATAGTAATGGTTTATATTCATACTTCCTCCGGTGGATTAAGTACTTAGGCGATGACCATAAGCTTACAGGTAACATAAAACATAACCCCTCCTCATCTGTTAGGTCTGGCCTTTCTGGAGTGTCAATAGTCCCTAATAGATTTTTCAGAGTACGCGTTATCTGCAGTTAGCCACATTTCCAAGAGTGGCATTGAAGCCTGACTCACTGTCATAAACTAAATGTCTAATTTCATCAAATTTGTCGAAGTGGATTTGAGCATTTGTGCTGCGAACTCTTTTCCGTTTGCAACCTTCACGGTGGCCTTCGAGGTCGATATTGATGGCTATCGCGTGGTCGCCAACTTGTCGGTGGACTCTGGATTCTGGTGGGTCGCACCTCGGTGACGTTGCCTTGACTTCTACAACCTTCTCCTGTTGTGACGGATGACCCCTTCTCAACTCACCGTTATATTATTTTTCCCATGACAATAAGCGTCCCGAACCCTCAACAATAGGGCCTAAAATATAAAATTCGGGCCAAAACCATAAATTTATTTATTTATATAACTGCATCTTGTCATACCATGCCACCTATTAAGGCAGTTGTTCCTACTACAGTTTTTTGGAAATCGGTGGCTCGCTGAAGTCATCCACCAATGTAAGAGTTTTTTACTACCAGAAAATTATTTTATAAGAGTTTGTTGTTAATCAGATCTAACTTACTACCTAACCACGCGTAACTCACTACTAATTCCTGTCATCATAAGCTGCTTACGCGCAGCTGTGATTACAATTTTGTATTTTTTCTTTTCACGATAGCACAAAGTTTGTAATGAACGGGCCCTTTGGGGCTTAATTATACAAATATACAATTTATTTATTTTTTATTTACGAGTATCTTTATAGATTGTCTGGATGTGGGGGACGGCCCTCTTTGTGACGAATGATTGCCCACAGATTGAGCATCTTTATCTGAACTATTTTCAAATTTTTGATTTCCATGCCTACCTCCTCACTGACCATCCTTTCCTTCAGACCCCTTCTTATCACCCGCATCTGTAATCTTTTTTTCGGTTCGCAGTTCGGCCGAAGAAACAATTATTTGTGCGAGTAACGTTAGGCCATTAATCTTTCTAGAAAGTGCGTTGCCTGGGTTTCGCTTTCTGTAACAGTTTTAAGGTGTCATATGGACAAGGTTACATCAAGACCTGACTATCTGCTTTACGCTTATAAGCCCTTATCCCAGAGGATCCTGTGAATTTAATCTCGAAGACCCTTCGAGTAAGCTGCCACAAGTTTCTTTGGAGTGCTTGATGTGGACTCGGGAGTATCCTTTATCACGATATTCTACTTACGGTGTATGAAGAAACTTTAGGTTCCCTCTCTGCGCAAGTAGGATTTGCTGCGTCTATTTTTTTTCTAAAGAAACGCTTCTTTTGACATAAGGATGGGTTTCTTCAGAATAGAGAGGGATGAAGCCGATATTTGTATGTAATGTACTGGCGTCGTATTGTACACATTCGGAGTTTTTGCTCTGCTTCAATC